CCATGGCCGCTGAGCCTGTGCGTCCGGAGCCTGTGCTCCGCAACTGGAGAGGCCGCAACAGTGAGAGGCCCGCGTACCGCAAAAAAAAAAAAAAAAAAAAAAAAAAAAAAAGGCACAGATTCTCGGTCCCCTTACCATCCTGTGGTTTAAGCACAGCGTGAGGCATGAAGCTTTTGCAAAGGGAGACATGTGTTTCCAAAACCATTCTAGTGCACAGACTTTACAAAGTAACTCAGTCAGTACCCCTGTTTAGTTAGTGTTGGTAATGAGGTTTGTCAGCAAATATTTTTCAGTTAATGAAGAGATCAAAATTCTTCTGCTCGATTCATACAAACTAAAAATAAAAAAGAAATGAGGGGAAAATAAATTTTTTTCCCCTTATAAAGATCCAAGTTGTCCAGAATGGCTCAGACCATGTGGCAAGACAGCAGTGAACGGCGGCCACAGAACAATACACGTTAAAGGGCTCGTAGTTACCAGGAGCCACGTGTGGCCTCAGTCCACAGGGAGCCTGAGGTCCAGACGTGGCCACTTCTGCCACACAGACCCTGTCCACGAAGCCAGCGAGAATGATCGTCAGATTCTTCCCACAACGAGGCAGAAGGCCGGATCATTTGTTTCGAAAGTTGGCTGAATACTGTAAATTTTTTCTTTACAACATGGATTTTTTGGGACGTTTTGGGCAAGAGGATTTATTGAAATAGAATCCAAGGAGAAGTAGAGATTATAGTACTAGAAGTGCCTCATTCATCTGTAAATTAGAGAGGAATAAAATACTCCACTTAAGTGAACCCTTATAGGCTCTAAAACTTAAACTTAGGATGTACTGAAACTTCATTTTACCAATTTTTCTGGAAAAAAATGTTAAAACAGTGTACATTGTTTTTAAAACAGAGCAGATTAAACATAATCCAACATTTTCTTGGTATCTTTTACACTACAGAGGTCAATAAAAATTATGTATAAATAAAGGATTCCAGGACATCAGTACGACTGATAACGAGTTCTGTCTCACGTCAGAATCCAGCCGTCCTCTGTTATCAAGGAGTGGAAAGCTGTTTTCCTCTGCAGTGAGAGCTCTAAGTAGCATGCTTCTCAGCTGCTCCCCCCTGAGGTTGGTGGTCCCTTCCTGGTGCTGGCGGTAGCACACCGCCCAGGGGCCTTACAGCATAACTGTGAGGCAGCTTGGCTCCCTTTTCTGAGTGAAGTCCAGTCCCCGCCCGGATCCCGTGCCCAGGGCCCTGGGTACTTCACTGCACTGCGGCTTGTCTTAGGTCACCCCCACCCCACCTGGCCACTACCTGGAACCAGACACCCAGACGGTCAGATGTGTGTCTAACAAACACTGAAGGGTCAGGACTGAGAGCCCAGGGCTCCCCCGTAAGGAAAGGCTGACAGCACGGTTTTGTCTACTGGAGGCTTTTCTTCCTTCATGACTCCTGGTCATTTTCTAGGAGATGAAGCTGTTGGGCAAGACTTCTAAATAAATCAGGTGTCAACGTATTAAAGAAGGAAATAATATACCGGGTCCTTCAGGGAATATAAATTCAGGATGCACCCAGGGATACAATGCCATGGCATTTCATGGTAAAAGCAGTAAGACTGTTGAAAATTAAAAATTCAACATATGTTAAACTATAACACTTGCAAGAATTATTAGGCTACATCAGCCTTTCTCAAGAGGGATTCTGAGAGGATCAAGTCCTAATCTCTAAGGCATCTCATCTCCTGTATGTAACGATGTAACTTCTGTCTTTTCCTTCTAGAATGGTATCTGTGTAGACCATCCTTGGAAGAATTTAGAGAACAATCATGAAATGATGTGTTGGGTCCTGTGGTTCAGATGAGAAAGGCTGGCTGAGAGCTAACAGACACCCTAACTGTCAGATCTGGAAGACTGTGATCACGAAGGGGCCAAAGAATCCACAAAGCTTAGTGGAAACACCCTTAAGTGAAGAACCTCCTAATTCTTTTAATAGTTTACAAACTTCATGAAAGTCTCAATGACATTCCCTGATGTGAAGAAAAGCGTTACAGTGACTGCTTTTCTTCAGTCGGCGTGCATGTTGCTGGCACATCCCCAAGCTCACGGGGAGAAGGCTCTTCCTGTCCTAGAAGCCGAGCAGATCCACCCACTCACCAGCTGCAGCTGATAGAGCTGGTTCAACATCGTCATATGCTGAGGATTAATTGGCGAGGTTAATAGTGCAGGGTTGAGACCAATGTTTTTTGCTGCAAACTGCAAAAGCTGTGCTTGAACCTGTTAACAAAAAATGCACCATTAGACATGAATTCTCTATTCAAACATTTACTTGTCTGTGCAGTTTTTTGAGATTCAAAACTGAGTAAATGACAGTTATATATATTTGTCTCAGTGAACTTCAAAAGCCATTAAAAAATTTACAGACACTTTAACATTAGTAGTTTACATGCTTTTGTGGATAATATGGAAGGAAGAAAGGAAGGAAGGGAGGGAGGGAGGTAAAGGCAGATGGCAAGAAAGAGATTTCTTCCTCCAAATATTTTAGTTACGAATTAACTTTCTAAGGCTCTGGGTTACTCCCATCGGTAACTGGTCTCACGTTCTGTCGAAATGAAGTTAAGTGGGCATCGTTTAAGGGTGGGAGACAGCAAAGGCGTGGTCTCTGGGAGGAAGTTCGAGCCTCCTCAAAGGAGGCCAGTGTCTGCGTCTCACACAGGCACCTCGGACCAGTCCCCGCAGGGGGGCTTCGTTCCAGGGCAGGCAGGGACCCCTTCTCAAGTTGACACGCTCGGGAAGTGGTCTCCCCCCTGCTCGTGGCACCAGCCATTCCTCTCGGGGGGCCTGACTGCCCAGCCTCCCATGTGGCACATGCCCTGGTGTGGCCAGCCAGCCCTGACAGCGATGGTCAGCCTGCCTCCCTGCCCAACTGGCATTCACTGCTCTGAACCCTTCAGGGGCCTGGCACTGGCCAGCTCCGTGTTTTCCACGGCGTGCGCTGTACACTTATCACAGCATTTACACAAGATGGCTTTAGGTAGAGCACAGAATAGTAACTTTTGCAGTCGTCTAACGTGTATTAGAAAAATGTTGCTTTTTCTCTTTATGATGGATATGTTCAGTCTTAAGAATAAATTTATCTAAATTCAGAAGGCAAGTCAACTTAAAGAGAACACATTATGTAACAGTTGTGGGAGGCACACAGATGAGTGACGTTCGGGACACGCTGGCTTGCTGAGTGTGCGGAAGGCTGCTCTCTGTCTCCAGGACCTGTCTCTACTCCTGCGCCTTAGCTGGGGTGGCCATGACACTAGGCTTGGGCAGTGGGACATGAGTGTTAGTGGTATGTCTCTCGCCTTTCCTCCTGTCACTGGGAAATGGCTGAGGCAGGGCTGCTACTTTCTGCTCTGTTGCTTGGGGGAGAATTACTTGTCTGTCTCGTCTGAGCATCTGTATTTTGGGGTCTCTTTGTTGTAGCAGCTTATAGTGTGTCTTGTTTAATGAATTTTACTATTATTTTACCCAGATTTCAGCCATCTCAACTCAGTGCACAGATCTCTGGTCAAACAACTGTGGAGGAATAATTACTTCCAGCGAATTCTATGATTTACCATTTTAATCTATTATTGAATATTCTTTTAAGCGGTAAGGACTGTAATACTGTAATTAAAAACTCAGTCCAAAGTCAAAAATTATGGAAATGTCCTAAAACAATACTAATATGAAAAAAAGCTGATATTATGCTTTAGAGCTGTGCAAAACAATATCCTTTTCCTTAATTCGATTTGCTCTTTTGTTTTAAAACGATCTAATACTAAAGAATAAACTTAACTAAAAAGTCTGTGATATGGACACTATTGTATATTGTCACATTTAGTTTGCCACTAAAGCATTTACTCAGTCCTTCACTGCTTCTAGGAATTTTCTTTTACGTCCCAAGCAATTTCACTTGCCACTTTCCTCTCCCACCAATCTAGAAGAATTCAATGGGTTCACCTGAGTAATCTTCTCAAGAGCAGGACAGCAGTCCCATCCCTGGCATGTGTCACCCGGCAACAGCACTCTGCCGGGAGGAGGCCCAGCCCTGGCCTGTGGGGCGGGGGCCCTGGGGGAGCAGCTCTGGAAATGCCTCCCAGGGCAGGAGGGTGGGACGGACTGGCTCTCAGTGTAGCGCGGACGCGGGTCTGACCTGAGGGGATAGAAACTGAGGCACTTGAGCACGGAGACTGGGCTGGGAGGAGCTCAGGGGCTGCACGGGCGGCTGTGGCGGCTGCTGCATGGTCCTCGCTGGGGCTGCTCCGCTGCTGCCAAACATGCCCAGGTTGCCACTCGGTGTCTGCAGGGAGGCGGAGGGCGCGTTACACAGACGCCCGGGAGCAAGCGGGGGGCAAGGCTGCACCTGCTTCCTGCCTCTCTCAACGTGTACCAAAGGGGATGTTTAAGAAGTGCCATCTAAACTAGGTACAGATGACAGAAGATCTACCCTCAAAGCCTGCCTATGTCTTTAAATCACAGAAGCCGCCCACAGAGCCAGTTTTAGGTGCCCCCCAACAAGGCCGTCGTGTTCTAGGAACCTATAATTACACAGAGCCAGGCACAGGAGCAGCAGGCACAGCTGTGTGGGCACCGTCTGTGCTGGGGTAAAGGGCATCATGTGTGGGGACCACTAACCTGGGAGAACAGGACATTTTCCAAAAGGAAATATAATTATGATTTCAACAAACCTGAAATTGAATACATGAACAAGTCCAGGCAGTTAACTTTGTGTTAAATATAATAACTATATATTTGAGTGCTTCTTTCTACTCTCCTGACTGGGTATCTGATCCCTGGGGCCCGCCGGCCAGGCCGCTGACTTCCCGACCACAAAAGAGCTGAAACTGGCACCGCAGCCCGGTGGGCGACAAGAGATGGCCAGGATCACGCGGATGGATCTGCGGACTGAGAACTGCCGCCGGCCACCCCAAATCTCACAGCTTTGCTGGAAGAGAAGGCTCAGAGCTGTGTGTATGTGAGCCTCCCCTGGGAGAAAATCAAGAAAAGCAGTTCTGTGGACGGGAAGAGC